ATTTGTTGTGGGAACATGGAGGACTTTGAGACTCGACAGATTTAACGTGCATCAGTCACCATTTACTACACGGGGAGTCTTCGGCCGGCGAGGATCGAACCCACGACCTCTTGTATATGGGCCCAGCGCCCTACCGACCAGGCTATCCCGGCCCCTTTTACATTTCTATTGAAAGCACCATCCATTGATGCTCGAATGCCAAGTAATATTGAAGGTAAAACTAAAGTCCACCTATCTGTTGAATAAGCACGAATCGCACTCTTCAATTGCCTGTGCAATCTCCCTACCATCCCGTTTGACTGAGGATGACAAAGTGTGGTATGTACAAGTTTAATACCAAGAAGACTAGCAAATTCTCGGAATAAATTACTCTCGAATTGCCTTCCCTGGTCCGTTGTAAGCCTTTCAGGAACACCAAATCTTGCGATCCAGCTGGGAAAAAATTCAAAAGCTACTGTCTCCGCTTTAATGTCCCGTAGAGGTATAACTTCTGGCCATCGGGAAAATCGATCCACACACGTTAAACAATAAGTATAACCTCGAGAAGGAGGGAGTGGTCCCACCAAATCAATATGAATATGATTGAATTGCTGACGAGGTAATGGATAAGTACCAGGAGAACTTACCACATGTCGTTGCACCTTACTTTTCTGACATGCTACACAGCATCGAGACCATTCAGCAACTTCCCTCTTGTAGTTAGGCTACACAAAACGTTCTCCAATCAACTTGACGGTAGCCTTTACACCAGGGAGGGATAATTCATGAAGAGTCATAAAGATTTTATGACGAAAATCTGGAGGAACGTATGGACGACATCTTCCCTCAGAAACGTCCCAGAAGAGTTCTGTTTCCATACCTGGAATCTTGACAAAATTCAATTTTAATGATTTGTTACAAGAGTTTAAGGGGACACTTCACGATGAAAAACCCAAAAATCGACCAAATTATACTTTTTTCAATTTTTGTTTCAAAAAATAATAGTTATATCTAGCTACAATTTAAAAGAAAAATTTTTCAATTTCAGTCATTTTTTGCAAAGTTNACTGACCGATCCAATCAAGATGCCGAATTTGACGCGGGGAACATTTCTCATGTTTTTGCGTAAAAGCGTAAATTAAGGGTTTATGATCAGTGTAAATTGAAAACTCGCGACCCTCCAACAAGTAAGAAAAATGTCGAACCGAAGCGTAGATAGCCAATAATTCACGATCATACACACTGTAACGCTGTTCACTAGGGACTAGCTTACACGAAAAAAATGCCAAAGGCTTGAACTCATCACCTTCTTTCTGGCTTAGAACCGAACCAATAGCTCGGTCTGAAGAATCACACGTCAAAGATAATTCCGCATCCTGAGATGGATGCACTAACATAGTTGTTTCACTTAAACTAACTTTGCATTTTTCAAAAGCAATCTTTGCTTCCTCTGTCCAAATTATAGGCCGGTTATCATTTTTCTTAGCGCCCTTAAGATAATCAGACAGTATTGATTGCTCATGTGCAGCGTTTCTCAAAAACCTTCGATAAAAATTCATTAGAGCTAAAAACCGCCTTAATTATTTAATAGTTTTAGGTTGTTGATATTCATTTATTGCTTTAACTCTGTCTGGTAGTGGTTGAATTCCCTTTTCAGAAATCAAATACCCTAAAAAATTAACAGACGATTGTCCGAAAACGCATTTTTCTGCATTCAGAACAAGTTCATATTTTTGAAATCTATGAAAAATTTCTTCCAAATGTTTTAAATGCTCATTTTCATTTTCAGATGCTACAAGTACATCGTCGAGATAAGAGAAACAAAAATCTAAATCTCCGAGAATCTCGTACATAAATCTCTGAAATGTTTGCGCGGCATTACACAACCCAAAAGGCATAAAAAGGAATTCAAACAATCCAAACAGAGTTATTACCGCTGTTTTTGAAACATCCTCAGCAGCAACTGGGATCTGATGATAAGCTCTAACAAGATATATAGCCGAAAATATCTTTTTATTAAAAAGAATATGAGCAAAATCATGCACATGAGGAATTGGGAATCTATCAGGAATAGTTTGAGAATTTAACTGCCTGTAATCTCCGCATGGTCTCCAATCATTATTTTTTTTGGGTACCATGAGAAGTGGGCTAGCCCATGCACTTTTCGATGGTCTACACCAACCCTGAGATACCATATACTGAAATTCTCGCTTTGCAACCTGCAACTTTTGACTTGTTAATCTTCGAGCTTTAGAATAAACAGGTGCACCACGAGTTTCAATATGATGCTCAGTGTTGTGTTTCACCTGAATCGGTGATTTTGGCTGACTTGGTTTGATAATATCACCAAATTTTTTTTTAGCAATTTTACAAAGGGATAGTTACCCTGAACAGTCGAAATACTTATAGACTCGAACTCAGACACAGTTTTTCCGAGACCTACGATACCGGTGCTACCATCTACCATCAAACCGTAATGCCCAAGAAAATCTACCCCTATTATAGGTTTCGAAATTGCTGCTAAGATAAATGGCCACTGGAATTTTTTTTAAAATCCCAAATCCAAAGTAATCAATTTAGTACCAAAAGTTTTAATTTTGGTTCCATTTGCGGCATACAGCAAAAAATTAGAAGGCTGAACGTTTTCATTCTTTACCATAGCTAAGATACTAACCGCAGAACCTGTGTCAACCAAATATTTATGACCTGTAATTTTATCGAAAACAAATAAGCGCTTTACCAAACCTTTTTCTACCGTCAGCGCCGAAACGGAAGGTCTATTTAGTTTTCCGACCCAAAAGTGCATGGTTGTTGACATTTGCTAGCTTTATTTCCAAATTTGGAATGCCACCAGCAATACTTCCGATTTATAGAATTTCGAACTTCTTTTCCACGAGAAGAAGATCTATATCGAATTTCTATTTTTCAGAGTCTCTGCTGAATTGCTGTTAAGCGCCTTTCAATATTTTGAAAACCCTGCGATTCGACATTAAATGAAACCGAAGCGACAGCATCCTCGTTAGAAATCTCAAAAGCACTATGAGCCATTTTAGCTAAAGATTACACATTATCTTTACTGATTGCTAAAATTTGCAAAGGCAAGCGTTGCAACCACAAGTTTTTCAAAACCTCAGATGAAATTTTATCTGCAGCTAAACTTTGCATCTCGTAAGGAAGTTTTGAGGGTTTTTTATCGCCTGACTCAATACCTGAAACCATTTTTTTTAAACGTAATGATTCAGAATCAGCATTTTGTGCAATTGACCTAGTTTTTATTTGAGTATAAGCTTCACTATCAGGTTTATTAAGTACATTATCTGAAACGCAAGTTAAATCATCACTACCTAAGGATGAAACAACATAATAAAATTTAGTGGAATCAACTGTTATGTTAGCTAATTTAAATTGAGATTCCAGCTGAGCAAACCATAGTTCAGTGGAGTCTTTATTGCTACAGCTGAATTTTCACCAAATGAACTACTCTTAAACACTGACTTTTCATTATTCGAAAGTAAAGTTTCCCCTTCCATTATAGTAGCACTTAACAATTTAGGAAAAAAAACTACATGCGCATAAAATATATTACAAATTCTGTATTATAAACCAGTAATAAATATAGCGTAAATATTTTGAAATGCAAAAACTCTAAATATGGTAGGCAAATTTTTTTAAGTACTTAAAACAATGAAAACATCAGTCTAACATTTAAACTACTAATTTCATTTTAAAAATTTTAACCTAAATCGTATATTCAGCATCTTGACCGAACCGAAAAGTTACGACAAGAAATGCTAAACTCACCGGGTCACCACTAGTAGATTCATCTGGTGAACGCTCTGGAACTATCCTGTGTTCCGGAAATAAGACTTGAGACTGATAAACAACTAAAGAAAACATTTATTAGATTAAACAAACATCTCACATGCCCAGCGTGCTCTCGTCGATACAGCTAGCAGTTTGAAGAAAATACGTGAAAGAAAAAGCAATTATCGCATCCATGTCGTCACTTTTATACTCTGAAGATCTGCACTACTTCAGTTCGCTTCACCAATAGTAATCGCTACAGCAGCGACGCCACAGTTTACATTAGACCACCCATCCATTTCTTATATGAATCATAATTAACATCATCTGTAAAGAGATACAGAACTCACTTACTAAGCCTTAAAAATTATTTTTCTTCTTAAAAAGAATATCACAATTTGTCCGAAACGTGCTTAATAATTTGTTAAAATTATACTCTACAAAAAAAAATCAACCGTTAATATTTGAAAAATTTGAAGAAAATGTTTAATTTGCTCATTTTTTCAAAAAGATATCAAAATCCCATATACTTTCATTAGTGAGCTGCCACCCATTTGATTGTAAATGAAGTTCAAACGCTACGTGCTCATGCTCCATAAAGTGACGTCAGTTTGGAGAGCTCCATAAGCAAAATTGAATATGTTTTTAGCAGCAGAAATGTGAAACCGGAAGCGCTAATTATAAACAAACCTGGAAGAAAACTTGTATCATCACAAATTGTTTACATGTTTAATTTAATAAATTTCATTTCGTTGCTTTGTATTCTTCAGTGTATATAATGGCAGGATTAGTGGGGAGTCTAATTAATTGGGTAAGTATTTGTTAGATTTCACTGAGTAGTCATATTTGAAGCATAGTATCGAATTAAGTTATTTCCTATTTATATGCTTCGTAGGGGGATTTAGTGAGAATTAAAAAAAAAAGGAAATGAATTAATTGGGAAAAGTGGTTCTGAGAAAGTTTATTATAATGATTTAAAATTCACCAGTGCATTATTTGTACATTGATATTAAAATTTTCTGACAAGTGGATTGCAAATCTGTTAAGTTTCTAGCTTGATATTAGGGTGCATTCCAGCATTGATTTTCAGGGAAAATTTCCTTATCGTGATCTGCGGCAGAATAATTGGTAGATTTCTGTATCGTGACCTGTGGCATAATGATCGCCAAATCATGGTAACTTCCGGGCCTGAGGCCCGCGAGAAACTAAAAAAACATTCTAGAAAGGGATCAACTCTAAGGACATAACTCGTATCCACTCCCGGGCAAACATCTACATGTTTTTTTTATAAAAAATTGCAAGTTCAAAGTTTATTTGGCACCAGTTGGTGCTACAGATCATGATTCGGAAATGTCTCCCAAGTTAACATTATGAAATTAAAATTATTACTATCTGACACACTCTTCTTTTATATGGCACTCTGTATATCAACCAAAGTAAAAATACGAGTGCATAAATTGCAATTAGAATAAGTTTCATTTAAGATTTATATTCACATTTTCAATTAAATTGAAAAAAATACAAGGAGCTAAACACTTACTCTCCGTACAGCCCACTTTGAATTTTTTTTTTAAAATCATTGACTGCATTTGAATGCACATCCTTGCAACACAGTTTATACTGCTAAAATAATTTTTCTTTTTTTAATTTTTTTTTTTTTTTACTTTACTGGTAGCTCTACATTATTATATTAAGCAAAGCACATTTATAGTTGCACATTATATTCATCCCATCAAAATGAAGAATAACTGTATTCAGTATCATTTAAACTAAATTTCTCATTCATTATTCATTAAATAATTTTCTCCTCCATCATTTCAAGGTTTTCTCTCTATAGTATCTGTACTTAACCTGCACAGTATTGGTGAAAGTTCAATAGGTGCCAAATATAGGATAATTTTTACCCATATTTCATATTTTTCTTTCTAATATTAGTCACAAATCATGTAATAAATATTTAAATAGGAACAAATTGAACTGTAGTTGAAGTAAAATTGTATAATTTTTAAAAATAACTCTAAAAATTTTTTCATTTATGTAATTTAGCACTAAGCGCATCGTTTAAAAACTTTTACATTGAATGACCGTTTAAGAACTTTTTCCATCAAAAATGCGCTTATCATCTTATTGTTTTTGCACATTTGATTTTATGACATTTTCTAACAATTATCTACAGTTAATGTTCTATTATTATTATTATTATTTTTGTATTCTGTTTGTTTCAAATGCTACTACTTGTATGCTTATTTCTACCACAACCGATCATTTGACCAGGAGAACAATTTATTGCTTTATAAGGTTACCGGATCAGAAATTTCGATGTAATGTATGTTCAACATATTGCATTTGATTAGTTGCGCATTTTTCAGAGACTGTTGCGTAGTTAGTTCAATCAGAGTAACTTTAATTCAAATTTCAAGAAAGTACCTAAAATTTTAGATTGGCATTTTTGTGTAAGAAAAAGTGACAAAAGCTAAATGTTTTGGTAAGTAGCTTATATTTTATTTTGATAGCTTTACTTCATTTCTAACTAACTCTAAGTTTTTACCCCCAAAAATGTCAAAACAATGAAGACAGCACAAGTTCTTAGAAGAAATAATATTAATTATAAGAATTATAATTATAAGAATTATAGAAATAATAATAATTAAAAGAAATATGTTTGTGGAAAATGTACAATGGAAGCACCCTGTATATGTAGAAAATGTGTTGAGCAATAAATTTAAAATTCTTATTCTTTGTGTTTATAATACATAAAAATTGGCAACATACAATTTTGTTTAATTATACTAAAGATTTTTTTAGTTTATTTCATTCCATATCATTCATATTTCATACATTCATACAGGAAACATGAAGTCCGGTCATTTGACCGGCTATGGTAGAAATAGTTATATTTTAAGTGTTGGTATGTTTAGTGTTAAATCCACTCCGGTATATTTTGTCGAATTCAAGTAAGTTTCTTGCCAAAACTGAAATATCAGCAGCAAAAGCATTTCCTTTAATTTAACCTCTTTCATACCACCGTATATAACCAATTACAACAAATTATTCATATTTTAAAACATATATTTAAAATAATACTAGAAATGCTATAAACCATGAAATATGTAAACCAGAAAAAATATAAACCATGGTATTGGTTTGGAGATATAAAGTTAATTTTTATTTTTTTAACAGAGTACTAGGTAGATTAATAGATTGATGTGTTTTCATTAGGTAACATGCATTCAAAAAAGATGTTTGGTTTGGGCATGTATTCCACAAACTAATTGAAAATTGAGAGATTTTTTTTGAGCAGTATTTTCTCGAACCCAATAGTGGGCTAGCTGCAGGACATACTAATAGTTACTTTTTTCTTGACTTAATTTAATTTTTAATCTCTTTTTTTTAGGTTCGAACTTTTAATATTGAAGGAATACCAACAACAGCTGAACATTTTACTGATGGAGTTATTATTTCAAAAGTTCTTAATAATATGTAAGTTTCATTAATATGATATTCTCTTATACTGACAGATGTTTCAGCCTTTTTTATTTATTTATTGTGAGTTAAATTTAAGATATTTTTTTATATATATTTTATTTTAAAATTTAATAGGTGTTTAAATTCTTACAAACTCTCATAAAAAAGCATAGCAATAACTGGCTTAAAAAAATCAAACAATCATTTAAATTTGCAATGAAATCAGCACACATAAAACATTGAAAAAGTGACAAATTTAATGTGTGTTGTTTGATGTTGAGTCATCAGAAAGTGATGACTCAAATGTGTGATTCAAAATGTTTTCAATTTTCAAAATAAAATTTTTAATTTGTTCAGAGGCTCTCCCAGGCTGCACCTCAAAATTCGGCAGGCCGAAAGTTGTGCCCCCTAGCATAAAAAAAAAAAAAAAATTACGTTATAAAGTCTGAGACATTAAAAAGTCTTAAGTGAGATAAGCCAGCAAAGTGAGGTCAGATTTCTGAGCAATTTAAAGGAATTGCATTAGCATCTGGAAGTTGGTAAGCATTAGAAAGTGGGACAGAGTCAGAGTCCTAGTATTGAAAGAAAAATTTGTTCAGCAATGTGCATATGTTCCGTTTGTGACATTGGTCACAATATGATACAACTAGAGATTGTAGAGTATTTTATATTTCTTACATAATATTTGATTAAATCCTCTGTTATGTATGTATTTTGCCATGATATTTTATTTTCTCCTCTATTATGTATATATTATCAAAATCCTGCTATATAGAAATTGTAAAAATCATCCCACCCTTTTGAAACTTATTTTTAAAAAAATATTTTGAGTTTGCTCTTACACTTTACATATTTATTCTTTTGATCTTTATTTTAACTTAACTTTTGATAACTTAGAAACTTTTTAAATTTTATTATTTTTTTATGCATGTATTGTTTCTAGACATTAAAACTTTTTAGGGTGACTGTAGGTGAGCAGAATATTAATGGTTGAAAAATAAATTGAATATTTGCTCATATAACACTCAACACAAGAACTTTAACAAATTATTTCTATAATCTTGACCTTTTATAAAATTTGTCAAAGAGTATTTTTACTCTTTCAACATTAGCAAAGTCAATATTTTTAGAGTGTTATGACTGTAGATGAGCAGAATATGAATAGTTGAAAAATAAATTGGATGTTTGCTCATACAACACAGAAAATGTAAATGAATTATTTCTATAATTTTTACCTTTAATAAAACTAGCAAAAAACTATTTTAGCCCTTTCAACATTACCAATGTCATTTTGTTTTTTCCATTTCTTTTTTACCTTCATTAGCTTAATAGCTTGGCCCTGGCCAAGAAGTTTTTTCCTGGCTAGTTTTCCACTTGCAAGTGTTTTCTAGTTTTTGTATGCTGAATTAAGAAAATCTTTTTCTAAACCATCTCAAGTTCATTTTATGTTTTAATGCGACTTAGAAGAAGCAAAATATTTTAATAATTTTTCAATATTTTTTGGTGTTCAGATTCTCGTATAGACCTAGAGACTTTTTAAGGATCTCTTTTTCTTTTATCAAGACACATTATTATTTGTATTATCAGTCCTACCCTCAATTTTAGATTTTTGTAAATTATTTCAAGAAAGCCTGCCCTAGTAGCCCTTAAAACGACCATAGGAAATAGAAATGAATTAATGCAAAATTCAAAAGAGAAAAAGTGAGTTCAGTATCTATAGGGTGTTCATAAATAAGCGTTGACTTGTTTCTCACTAAGGGAGAAAAGCAAAAGATGAAATTTAAAAACTTTTTTCTTTCAAACCAAATTTGATTGAGCTTTGTTTAACAGTGGTTTACTGTTATTCAGTGCATTGTTATTTTGACGGATTTGCATTAGGGTATATGCATGTTCACAGGGACCACACAGACCATTGTTAGGGATATTATTGTTGTGTTGGATACTGTAGTGAGAGTTAACAGTATTTAGCAATGAAATTAAAAATAAAATTTTGTTCAGATAATAGTACACTTTTATATCCATATTTTTATAATCTATAGTACACTTATATATTATAAAAATTTAGTGATGTAATATAGTTGAGCTTCTTTGGGGTATTTTCTTAGCTTTGTATTTGAAGTTTCTTTTTGAATAATTTTTTTTTATATAGTTATAATACATTGTACCTTTTACCTTTTTGTATATTTATTAAATTTATGCAAATTTTAGCGATCAAGAATTTTTTGATGATGGTTGGCTTGCAAAAATAAAGACTGATGCTGGCTCTAATTGGCGCTTAAAAGTAAATACTGAAAATATAGATTGCTCTTTTCTGTGATTTATGATTAAATAATTCTGTGTTATTATTTAATTAATATAAATGGGCTTACAAGTGCTCCAAAATTTTAATTTTAAATTTCATGTTATAAAATAAATTATAATTGTTTTCTTTATTTAAATTGTATTATTTAATTAATTGTATTATTTAAATAAATAGTTAAGTTTTATGTGATTAGATCATATTTGTTCATATGAATGTGTTTTATTCTGATATATATTATATTTAATAATTTTACAAGCTTGTAATACACTTATGTATTACACCTAGTACTAAACTTTTTGTTTTTGCCATGTGTTTTGTTTTTGAGTTATTTGTAATTAGTTTTAATTTTATTTCTTTTTAAGGTGAGCAACTTGAAAAAAGTGCTAAAAGGAGTTTTGGACTACTACAATGAGGTTATTTTTTTAAAAAGCTCTTTGAGTTGTAGTTGTGTTGAAAATTTATTTATTAAAATTAAACTTTTGAAAGTAAATTTATCTATGGAATATCCTTTCATAGTCAGTTCAATTTACATTTCTATTCCATATTTTTAAACTATATATAATTTCTTATGAAATATCTATCAGTTTTAATTCTAGTTAGATATCTATTAATTTCAAAAAATCATATGTAAGAGAAACTTAATAAGCTTGTTTTTGGTTAAATAAGCTTATTAAATTTAGTTCAATGAAAGAATATACAGAAAGATAAGAAATTATTTTATATGATATAAATAAGTAAAACAAGAGGAAAGTACATTTTTATAAAAAAAATTATTAATTTGTATTTGTATGAAAATTTGTAAAAAAAAATAATGAAAAAAAAAATATTTAAGCAATACTTAAAAATATCAGGATAATACTTATTTATTTAAATTTGAGTTCTCTACATTTTTCATTGAGTAATTTAATAAATAGGTCATAATAACCTATACATTAGATGTCTAAATGTGAGTTTCTTGAAGAAAAAAAAATTACTGAATCTATGTTTGTGTTTTGTTGAAAACTTGCATCTTAAAAAGTTTTACACGGCTTCTTTAAAATCTTATAAAAGTTCCATCAGAATTATAAACTGACTCCTAAGTTCTTTTTGTTTACATATTTCTCTTTTTGGCATTTAGTAACTGAGAATTAGGTAATTGATTTCATCTTGTTTTCAATACTTTTTCATCTTTTAGTAAAATAGCGTAAAACCTTGAATCAGAATTAAGGCCTATTGTTTTGATATGTAAATACATTTTACATTTACTGAAATATATCAACTGCTGTAGATAGAAATAGATATTAATTTTACTAAATATTTAAACTTAATTTAAATAAAATTTTTTTGTGTTCTTCACACGTAGATCGCATATTTCATGCAATGTATATATTCATATATATGTGTGTGGAACATAGAAAAAAGCTTTAACTGATATTTTTGTGTAATTTCTTTATCTAAATTCTCTTTCTTAAACATTAAACACCTTCTCTCGCACTTAATTATTCAATTCCTCATTTTTTATTTTATGTTTCGATTCAAGTATCCATGAATTAAGATTTTAAAGTTTTCGCTTTACTAACTGTGTGAACCACATTATTCCATTGACCTATTTAATAGAGCAATTGTAAGTACTAACGTTTCCCTTTTTGCATGTGATTTAAAAGTTCATTTGAACTTTTTCGCAAGATTTTCTGATAAAAAATTCAAATTCAAATGATTCAGATAAAAGATTTGCTGTGAATCAAACCCAGCATAAAGATAAACAAGAAAATAAAGAAGCACAAAATTTACAATTAACTTAAAATTACTAAATGTTTAGCATAAATATTTGCACTAATGAAGAATATGAGGAGAAAGACTCTTTTATAAATTGAGAATCCTTAATACCTTAATATTGTGAAGTATACCTATTTAATAAAAGATATATATTTTATTTTGTTTTGATCATTAATATTTTTCAGCTCATAGGCAAGTTTTAAAAAAATATAACTTGATACTAAAATAGATTTAAAATAAATTTGTCAAACAGATGCTTATGGATATTTTTCTAGAAACAACAATTGCTACTTGTTCTGTTTTCCATTTTTTTACGTTAATTTCTTGTAAAAGCCATGGTCTATCTGTATTTAAAAATTAAATTAAAACAACGAGCATCATATTTGTCAGTTCAGCCTACATGTTGATTTCATTTTCTGCAAGAATTCTGTGATAACCAGGGATTCATTCAAAACTAAATGCAACAAAAGTATTTAAAATTGTCTACCTAAATAAGATTGTTTACTTCAAAAATCATACTTTTTGTTCTTATTTTTATCTATTATTTTTTATTAAAATATAGCATGAAGAGACAAGTTTTTGAGTCGCAGTTAATGTGGTAACAAATTCAAAATTGTAAATTGAGAATAATCAAATAAATGCTCTCCCTTTTTCCTATCTCTCTTTCTCTATCTAATTTTTTTTTGGTAAATCTTTTATTTTCATTTTTGCAGCAAATCAGAAAGTAACATACTTTTATTATGCACATTCATGCAATTTCTGTTGTCCCTTTCATTAAAATTTTTTTCTACCAGAGTTTAATTTTTTATTTTTTTCTACGATGTTTCTACTAGAAATTATTATACTTAAAAAAATAACAAATATTTCTTGAAACTTTCTAAAATTATATTTTCTTTTATCATTTATAGATCCTTGGGCAACAAATTACAGGCTTTCGAATGCCAGATGTTACAGCTATTGGCGAAAAAAATGATTCTGAAGAACTTGGGCGACTTTTACAACTAGTTCTAGGCATAGCTGTTAATTGTGAGCGCAAATATGGTAGGAATTATTTTGAAAGAAATTATGTTTAGATTAATTTTCAATATTATGACACTTTTAGTTGAAATTAATAAATAAAAATTTGAAAAAAAATTAAAGTATTGTATTATTTAGTAAAATTCTTACTTCCTTTTAAATGTGATTTAAAGGAAAGCAAATTAAGAAAGTGTTAAGAAACTTCCTGAATAAGATTCCTTGGGGAAACAATTATTCATAAATTACTATGCCAGTTTGAATTATTGAGGCATAGACACACGTAGAACTAAACATGAAACGTAAAAAGGAGCAATTATCAATCACATGACTGTGCTGCCATCTATATTCAGATTCAAAACTATTTCAGACAGAATTACTTCGTTTTTATGCACTTTTTTTGTTACTTTTTTTCCAGTTAAATAAAAACTTTCTTGGTTATTTTACAACAGTTGAATCTGGACTAAAAAATCAAAAAATGCTCAAACCCTTGCTTTTGCTTACACCGTTTTGAAGATTAAAAATTATTGGTTCAATTATTATAATAATTGAAATCACTCTCTCATTTCAATCCTCTGACTTCGTAATTTGACCAACATTAAGGAGATTTCAAGTTTTTAGTGGCTTAAAATGCTCATTAATATTAATCCAAAATTTACATTGAATATTAATATTATTAAAAATTTAAATTCCAAAAAATGTTTTTTCTAGAAATATTGATATAAGTTATTATTTAAGATTTGCAAAATAATTTTAAAATCGAATATTTTTTTTTTTTTACAGTAAACTAAATGGATTCAATGAAATTTTTTAAAGATTTTCTTTTTCAATTTGTAATAAATTTAAAGAAAAATTTCTTATAAAAACTGCACAAACTCAATTTTACTTGTTTTATAATTTACTTTTTATTGAAATTATTCCCGTCAAGTGGTAAAAATAGATTTTTTTTAATCAGCTGATTCATCCATTTTAATAATTTTTCTTTAACCTATCTGAATTTCACGTTTATAAGCTGTTAAAATATGGATTATTTAGTAAATATATCATTTTTTGGATAAGCCTGTCAAAACTTTATAATTATGAGGAATTAAAAAAAAAAACAATATTAAAGATAAAAATAATAAGTTTTGTTTTTAAACAAAATGAAAAATGTTTAATCAACAGAATTAATGTGATGTATTTTTACCTTTAAAAATGTAGATATGTGCATTTAAAGAGTTAAGAGAATCTTACGAATTATTTTTCAAACTAATGTTTAAATTAATTATTCTCAATTATGATAAAAAAAAAATCATTATTCTAAATAATTATTCAAAAGTTTTATCATTTTTATATTTCTTTTCCTGTAGAATACATTCAGGCTATTATGGACTTGGAAACTGATATTCAGCATCATGTTATGAATTCTATTCAAGAGGTAAATTATTTAAAAATTAATACTATTATCTGTATCTTGTAAATTTGAAAATATCAAATATCTTTTTATTAAAAAAAAAAATCCGTAACTATGTAGCATAAATCAGGGCCACCACTTACGACTATTTACTACTGAAACCAAGGAGAGGCAACTATAACTGCTATTTCTTATTAAAAAAATAGCTAAAAAGCAACTATTTTAAAAAAACTGGCGACTAATTTTTTTTGAAAAAAACTACTCTTTAAAAAAATATTGACAAGCCGGTAGGTTGATAAAAGACTGCCAAAAAAACTGTGAGGAATTTACAACACAATTGTTGCAAACTGAACCAAAGGTGTTGTCTCAAAATTTTGTCTAGTTATATGGTTGGCATTTCCTCTGAAAGAATCCTATTTCTACCAGGAAGTAACTGGGAAAAAAATTGAAGAAACAATAAAATAGAAGAAACTAAAAATGACCCATGCAAATGTTTAGAAGTATTATAAGAATAGCTTAAATTTAAATTAAATACATTTAGTATAGTACCCGAAAGATAAGTGTTTTATATCTGCTTTGTAAAAAAATAAAATTTTTTTTTACAGATTTTTAAAAATTAATAGTTATAACATTTAATCATATACTTTCACAAGTAAAGACTCTTTTAAAAGTTAGACTAATTCCATCTTTTCTGTAGTGCAGGGTGGTCAAAAGTATATTTTTTCAAGTTAAATATTTGTTTTGTTCATTAAACACTCCATTTTATTAAACCTTTAATTTGAAATTAAGTTATTTTTCTTGTATTTTAATAAAAAAAATTTGTACAGTGGATAAATTTCACGTTATAAGTTTTATAATTTTTTTTCTCAAATTTTATTATTTTTCACAAATTAGGAATTTAATTCAGTATTCGTGTGGGGCTCAATTTTTTATGGTACATCAATTTATTTATGTTGCAGTTGTCATTCTGTGTTAAACTAACTTTTTTTTGATTTCAGCTGATGACAAAAGATATTCCTGCTGTTGATTTACAAGACACATTTACTAATTTACGTGATGAAGTAAAAAACCTCACTGAAGATTTGCATTCTACTAAAGAATCAAAAGAACAAATTACTCAGCGTTGTCATGAACTTGATATGCAAGTAAGTAATATAAATATATATGTTACGGTGAAGCACAGAAATCTGGAAAATGTCGACATTCATTGGTGATTGTCAACTATCACGTAGTCGCTTGGTGTATGTCAGAAATATTTGCTAAATACCATTATTTCTGACTCTCACCGGTGAATGTCAACAATCACATAGCCCCTTTGGAGAATGTCCGAAATATTTGTTATAACCGATTTCATATTAATTTATTTGTTGATATTATTTTATTTATTCGATATTTTAATATCTGTCGAGGATAGATTTGGAGAAAAATTAGTGTTCGGCGTAGCGGTTAAATGCATACTGGGCAGTGGCGCTTGACCTTAANTTAAAAAAACATCAGTGTAGGGTTAAAATATCGAATAAATGTAATTATATCCACGAATAAATTCATATCAAATCGAATGTAATAAATATTTCGGACATTCACCAAAGCATATCTGTGATTGTTGACATACACCGGTGAGGGTCCGAATGTACAAGAATGTAATGAAATATTCGATCTTTTACCGACGTATTTGGTGTTTGTCGATATTCACCAGTGAAAGTCAACAACCACCGATTTCGGTCTTTCGCTGTGACATAGATATATAGGGAAGAGGAGAATAATACTTTCAGATATTTTAGTATTATTAAAAATATGTACAGTAAAACTGTTAAAATAACAATTCACAAAGGCAAATGGAACTTTTAAATAAGTAACCCCATGAAATTGATTATTTCAATTGATTATTCCAATTTATCAATTGATTAGGAAAAACAGATCTATGCTTACATTGACTTTTTGTCCTGTAAACTTAGGGATATGCTTAACGAAAAATTGATTAATATGAATATTTCTTAATGAACAAATGCGCTTAAATACCAACCCATTTTACCCAACATTCTTTTGTTAATTTATCTATTAATTTGTCTATTAATCTCAGCAAAATACAAGAATAGGTTCTTAATTTAGTTTTAAATTTTGCTGCTACAGTAGGGAACCAATTATCCGGAATGGTCGGGACCATCGCTATTCCAGATAACTGATTTTTCCGGTTTTCTGAATCCCTTCAAAAAGCCGTTTTTTTATTGTTAAACCCAACTAAAAAAAAAAATTGGAAATAATCTTAAAAATAAGAAAAAACGATGAAGTAATACACTAATGATTATTTCCAAAATGATGGTAAGGTAAGCATCTTTAAAAAAGGAAAGAAAAATCGTAAAATCTCATGAGGAAATTTTTTTTTTTTTAAATGGCGAGAAAATTTATCGAATTTTATTCCGGATTTTTGGTTTGCCGGTTTTCTGATTTCCGGATAACGGGTTCTGTACTGTACTTCCGAATATTATTGTCTCATTACAGGGATAAGAGTTTTCCACCTTTTGCCAGATTTCCTGCTTTTTATATTTTTTTAATTAAATTTTTAAGGAGTCACCATTATTTATCCTTTTTTGGTAAATTTCATATGGGTTTTCAAATTTTGATATTTTTAATGCTGTGGTATAGCAACGTTGTCATTTGAGTCATCACCTTTTGATGCTTCTAGCATAATTTTACATCCTGTGACATATCAAAAGTATGGCAACTATAGCCTTTACCATAGGCGTATTATCTGAATAAGGGTGCCAAATCAACAGTTTTTTTATTTTATTTTATTTATTAATTTTTGTCGTTTATATTGTTATCTTTTTTCTTTTTTTTTTTCTTTGAAGACAAATATTTTACTTTTTTTCAGCTTTTGCCGGTAAACAAATTAATTTCCTTAAAAAAAATTTTATTCACCATAAAGCACACCCTTAAATGTTTTTTTTCTCAGGCAAATCTCTATCTTTTTCAGTACTCTTATCCTAAAAGTCAAGACTGAACATTTTCCTCTCACTTTTGCCAAACAAATTGTGCAGCATTTTCATCTACTATTACAAGAGGAGGGTTGAATCCTTTCTCTGGCCAAATTAGATAGCTTTTGTGAGAACAGAACTGAAAAATACCAAAGCCTGAGTTTAGCTGTCCCTAGACTTATTATTTTTAGATATGCTTATTTAACTTCAATTTAATCAGTTGTGAAAATTTTGTTCAGTTGTGAAAGGCGTTCTCTGAATCTGTTGAGTAGATTATATCCTTATTGTAAGTTGGTGAATATAAAGAAAAAACACATCCCTCAGCATAGGAAATTGCAAGCTATCCAGAGAACGAACAATTCTAATAAATTCTAGTGAACTTGACAACTAATTTAAACCAATCAAACCATTAAAGATTGAATAATCTATTTAAAAAATATCATCAGTTAAATAAATGATTTCTGTCTTTGAAATTACGAAATAAAAACTGTATTCCATTTTATACCTTTGTTGATTCTAAGAAATTATCTTCTAACTGTTTAAATCAATGCATTGAGTCATACTTAATTTGCTTATATCCAACAGATATGTTAAAAATTGTTACTACAGTAGAAATAATAATAAAAAAGAAAGAAAACATGCACTCCCCTCCTACCTTAAAATCTAATAAATTAAAATTATATTTTGATTTTAAATTTAGGATGGAATGAATATTTGACCCTCAGCAAGGTATTTTTTGGAAAAGTTTTTTGACAACGCTTTTCTTTGGAGAATTTGAATAGAAGAATTTGAGAAATGAATAATTTAAATCTTATTTTTTACAACCCATTATTTGAAATAGTTTTTACGCATATTTGTTAAGTTCTAAAACTTGTTTTATGTTCTGAATGGCATGTGAAAAGAAACTTAAAATTGATACTAGATTACTTTATACTGAATCATAAATTATGCACTGCTGATTTCTTTTAAGAAATTATATTCAAGCTAGTCTATTTTGTCGTTTTTTCAACACTTTTTTTTAATCAAAAATTGAAAACTTTTTTTAGTTTGTTCTGTTTCTGATAGACTTTAGATTTTAGTGTCACTTTTTTTCTGTACGGTAAGACAGAAAACAGGTAACCTAGAAAAGTGTGATTTTCAACATTAAAGTTACATTTCAGACCTGAGAAAAAAAAATTCTGCTTCTCTTTTGCTTTTTTTATTAACTTTTCTTTTTATCAGCATTTTTATTATGACACAGCATCTTTTAAATAGCGTTTCTAATGAATGTCGGGTTGGTATGCACCAGTAATATCAGAGAAACTGGGAATTGTTAAGGGAAATGAGATTAAAAAGAGTCAGGGAAAACAAAGCGGAAAAAAAGTCAGGAGAAACATAATTTTACTCTAAAACCAGGGATTGTCCGGGAATTTAATACTCTATCAAATTGCAAGATTTCACTCTTCCATTTTCAACCATAATTTGCACTTATGCTATAGATTTAAAAAAAGAAAGAATAAATTTTTTTCGAGCACTTATTAAGTGTATTCTCAAGACTCCTGAGCGTTTCTGGAGTGATGCCAATTAGATGTCTGACTTAAATAACTTGAAACTTCAGCCTTTAGAGTATTGACATGTTAACTTTTTTTATAATACTCTATTGTTTATCAATTTTCATCATCTTTCATTTAGTATGACAAATAGATGTGATCGTGATTATTAATTAGTATGACAAATTTACTTAAAAGAGTATTAAGATTCAATTGATCGCTCAGTAATTTTTGTATTTAGAGCATTTTAAAAATTCAATAAATTATGTTGTATTAAATATAAATTAGGAAATATACATAAATTCCATTTTTTTTGCCAACATATGGTATTTAAAATTGTTATACTATGATTATTTCAGTGGTTTAATTAAGGCAGAAAAATTACACTTTCCCACCATTCTTGTAGGTAAGGTTTTTCTGCACTTCCCTTGTTAAATAGCTAAAAATTGTATTTCTTTCCCCAAAAAAATTTAGCTCAATAGTGGAAGGTAATAGTTTTTACTTTGTTATAAGCATACAATTTTTGTACAGTTAATATTAAAATTTTCACAATGATTTTGAGACATTGCAATAACAGACTTCTGGCAATACGATGTACTCATTACATCAAGCATCTGCAATATTTGGTGGTGAATGTTAAACTATAGTAATTTTATTAATGAATTAAAATAATAACAAAAATGCCCTACCCTCTCTGCATAAGCGAGGGGTAGGACATGTTTCTAAAAGTTAAAATGCATGTACAATTTGCCAAAAATATTCTAAAAAAACAAAGACGTTGTAATTTGTGCTTTTTAATATATTTACTTCCATGTTATACACATATGGCCTGCTTATAAGCAGCAAATTTTTAATCAAAATTTTAACCACTATTTTTACCAGCTACAGTGCTATTCTGTGGCATAAAACAATATAAATTTCACCATTTCCTAGCAGCTACATGCAAAATTTATTGTCCGGGACAGTGAATAATTGTTTTTATGCTTTCTAACATTTATTACAATGTTCACTTAAGGCTTTTCATGGTTTTGGCTTTTTCATTCCTGCATCAAAAAACCGGTTTTTGCATGTTATTGAATGGAAAAATAGTATGCAGCAGGAAAACTTCTGTACAGTTTAACTCAGAGGCTCAACATTTGGAGAGGTAACTCACCTTCAACTCTTTTTGATAAAGGGCAATATTCTAATCAAAATTCCATCTGCTTTTCAACAAGCTAAAGTGTATCAATTTCAGTATAAATAAGTGTATAAAATGCAAGTGGATGATGGATAAAAATACAAGTTTTAGTCATTTCTTAACTGCTACAAGCAGAATTTATCACCATTTGGAATTTTGTTCACTTTCCCAAATAAATTAGCAGGCACAAACTAAAAGGAAATTGATAAAAAATTTAAATATGCATTTTTCATGTGGGCTCAGAAGAAAAAATTTGCATTTTTGTCACACCTTGGTTAAAATATATATAATACATAATTTTACAATTAAGTTTTAAAGAGTGAAAGATAATTTATTGTAATTATCCATGTTTTTAAACTTAAATTATTGCTAGGACCTGTTAAGAATTTCATTATAAACTTTTGTGTATTCATATAAATTTATTTATGCTATGATATTGCATTTTAAAATTTTTTAAACATTTTTAGGTTGCTGTTCTTCTAGAAGAAAAGAACAATTTATTGTTAGAAAATGAGAAACTCTTAGAGAGATTAAACCACATTGAGAGTTTTGAAGATCCCAGGTTAGAATGCATATTTCCTTTGAGTTTCATAAATTACCAGAGTTATATTTTAAACGTCCTATTATTGCAATATGTGGGAAACTTTACTTACTATATAGGTCTAAACTGAAGGAAGAATTATTGAGTGTAAACTGTTAAGTTTACTGTAAGCTGAAATCCAATGAAATTTATTCAAGATTATCAGATAGCTAAAACAATAAGTTTACTGAGTATGAACTAATTTGAAAAAATAATATTTTATTTTTGCGATAACTAAAATTAATTTTGAAATATGCCATTACTTTTTTAAAATATTAACCCAATAGAATCTTAAAATTTCAAACTTCAAATTGGAATAAAAAATGTCTTTTAATAGTTTTTTATTTATTTTTAAGTGAAATACACATTTTTAAAAGTATTTTAGATCACTATTAACTGTAGCTCTTAAAAGATTTTGACTAAATCTTCCCCTGTCAATGCCGAAAAAATAGGTGTTTTTATTTTTAATTTCTGAAAAAAGACATTAAAATAAAAGCTTTTTATGATAACAGCAAAAACATTTATTATGATATTTTTTTTATGAAAATTGTTATGCATTCCTAAAACAGTAGAAAAAAATTAGTCTTAAAATCAATTAACCATTTTTATGCATTTTTAAAGTATTTTTTACTAAATTCAAAGGAAATAATAGTTTATGAAATCTTCTGAGTATTAGTGCCAGTTTTTTCCCAACTTTAAATTGAGGGCAAAAAAGCCAGTTTGTTCTTAGTCATTAAAGGAAAAACCATGAGAAGTTGTACTATATGTTTTTGCCCTAAGTTGAAATATTTGGAAGATTTCAAGATTTCATTGTACTTATAATTCATATTTTTAGCCTTGTAATCAAGACTAATATTGTTGTAATACGAATGTTTATTCAACTTTCAAGTTGCTTGTAACAATCTTTATTTTTGCATTATTTTGTATTTGTGTATTTCCAAAGGCTATTCACTGGCATATGTTTTCTTAGAAATCAGTGTACTGAAAAACATTTTTAATTACACAAATTTCAACTATTTCTTTATTGTCATAATTATTTTCTCAATGTAATACTTCATTGCAGGTTGCCACCTTATTAAAGAAAAATAAATTTAAATGTGTCATTTCATTAATTTACAAAATCTTATTGTGTTATGGGCATGGGTAATAGATGCCTGCAAAACCTGATAACTTCTAAACAAAATATGAAAATGATGTACAACCAATTATTTGATTTGATACTACCAATTATTTGATATACAACCAATTATAAAATATATTGATTGACTGTTAAACAAATTAAAGTAATAAATTAATAAAATTTGAAAAAAGAGATTTCATTTGAAAATCTGATGCAATAATATATTCAATAAATTTTTATATTGTACTTTAAAAATTCAACTTGCAGATTGTCTACGCTTTTTACATGAAATATTGCTTTATTAACTTAACTCGTAATGATCCAATGCCACCATAAAAGCGGTGTGGCTCTTTTACTTGCTAAGTTCTATGCATCATTTTGTTATTTATATTACTCTTATTGTTGTCATATTGAGAATTAGTTTAATTACTGTAATTAATTTTTATAATTATACAAAATGGGAAGTAAACTAAAAATTCTTTTGCACCATTAAGGTTTAAATTATTAAGCTTTCAGTACTTTTAGATGTGTGGTCTGGGGATGGGTAGTGTATCTGTTTTCATTATTTTTGTGATAAAATTTATGTCAATATAGATTGAATTGGTAAGTATTTGCATTTCATTTATTGTATCTATAAATTTTTTTTCAGTACTTTGGCTGGAAAACGATTCCATCAAATGCAACAGAAGCATGAGTTACTTCAAGATGAGCTCTTTAAAATTGAGACAGGTAGAAATTCCAAACTATTCCTTTAATTTTTAATGTTTTTGATGTTATTATTGATTTTTTTATTAAGATATTAGAATATTTCATTTTGGAAACTTTACTTTTTTAATTTTTATCTTTCAAAACTGACCAAAGTGCTTTCGTACCATTAAAAAGATTTTTTGCAATATTGTCTTTTCAGAGCATTTGTTTACAAAATTCTTTTTTAAAAAATTAATTATTATAAATTTTATTATTGTTTCATACATTTAGTAAATTTTTCCACTGTTATAATTGGAATGTTTCCATTTTTACTCATTCTAAATATTTTTTAACAAAAAATATACTGTGAGAAATGAAAAATAAAAAAATTATTACAGGTTTAGCTTGATGACTTTCTTAATGGTTTTGTTTGTAAATTCTAAATTGCCGAAAAAGCCTCTAACCTGAGAACCTTTTAAATTAAAATTGTGAAAACATTGCTTAATGTATTTCAATTTAACTACCAAACCTCTCTGCATTACTGAAAGAAGCTAGTGTTTTGGATATTTTTACTGTCAATGTTAACTTTATTAAGATATTATCAATGCTATTTCTAAAGGTAATAATGCTTTCAAGGATATTGCCTATTGCTTGAAGAAATTGCATGTTTAGCTCTCATTTTTTTGGCATAATCTTTTTTAATAATTTTTGTTAGCGAAATTCAGACAAAAATATCATATGTAAGAGTATAAAATAAACATTGTCTTTGCATAAAATTCCAATTAAAAAATTAATTCATGACATCAACATGACATATTTGATAAATGCTTTATTTTTAACCGCAAGAAATTTTTTATTGCTTCTTAAATAAGTATTGAAAAAAAATTTTTTTTTATCATTTCTTTACTTTGAAAAATATTCTACTTTCTATGCTTCTTATACTTCTTGAATGATGATCCATTCGTAAATTTTTTCATTTCAGCAAATTTTTGAATGCTTCACATATTCAATATATTGTTTAGTTGATTTGTCAATGTTAAGTTTGTTTTTATCATTACATTATTTTTCACATTGAATGTTTTATTTACTTTATTTTACTTATTTTATGTACTTTATATGTGAATGGGTGTTAAAAATGAGATCTTAAAATGCAATGACTGTAGATAGTATCTAAGTAAATATGTATTGAAATTAGATTTCCTATTTAAGAGCCTCTTTGGATTTGTTTTCTATTAAACGACTCAAGGAGAAAATATATTCAAATAACACGGATTGAGTGATTTTAATAGTGAAAGAGTTAAAGGTTTTCCCATGTTATTCATGAGGAAAGTAGTGTACAGAATGGAAATTTCAATAAAATTTTTCATCAGGGCTCACCCAATTTGTTGCATAACCAATAGAGATTTTATGAAAAGGCAGACTAAAACACATAATGAAGAATACAATTTTTTTGGAACATTTTAGCCAACTTTGATGATTCCTTCAAGGAACAACAAGTCTTAATAAATCAGAAAAGATTTGTTGAGTTTTGTAATTTATAGAATTTAAGATTTCTAGAAAATGGGACTTAGGATAAGGTTTTGTTTAGAGTCATACCTCAACTAGAAAAGTAAACTCTCCGTAAATTATATTCATTTCCTGTAAATCAATGTGAATAATAATCAATGTTACAATAGAAATCAATGTTAAATTTTGATAACTTAAATGTATCGTTTTTTTTAATAACTATGTTTTTTTAGTTACTTATACATTTTTTCTCTTTATTTCAATTTTAGTTAGAGATGAATTAAAAGGTAAAGTTGAAGTACAGCGTAAGGAAATAATAGATCTACAGCAAAAGGTTAGTAACGCAAGTGCATTATATTGCAAATATGCAAAAAAAAAAATTCTAATGATTTCTCATGTGTTGATTTAATTAGAAATTTTAATTTAAATTAATTAGAAATATATAATTTAATTAGAAACTTTTATTCCTTTATAATATATGCTTGGAAACTTTAAAACTCCTTTTTTTATTAATTTTTTATGGTAATCAAAATATAAAAATGATTTAAGTAGTTATTAAGTTTTACTCTTGGAGTTATTTCATTGTATTATTTTAAGCTGTTTGGGTTTAATTCTAGAGCTTGAATAAGCATAAGCGCATTTTAGTTTAATTAAAATTAGAAATATATCTTTTTTGTTCAAATTGAAATTTGAAACCTTTTCTTTATTAAATATGCCTGTTAAAAAAGATTTTTTTTATCAGTAAATGCATTATTAAACTTATTTTTATCTGTAAGGAAGATGTAACAGTAATTTTTTATTTGCCTAATAAAATTTGCTTAAAATCTTAAATCTAATGTTTTTTTTGAAAGTAGAACATCTGTTTCATGTTATTAAAATGAGATTTTTTAGTGCAATTTTATAACACGGATGACAATATCTAGGCTTTTGATGGAAGTTATTATTTTTTTTTAGTAAAATTAATTTGAAGGAAAATATAATTTTAATTTTTTAAATTTTTGCTGACGCTTAATAACATAACCACTTTAGCCTGTTCTAGAAAATTTGATGCTTACATACTTGATTATTGGTCTAATAAATATGATTTCAAAGATTTGTTCACTATGGAATAATTTAACTAAATAAATTAAAAACCTGGTATTATGTGATACAAATAAGTGACAGAAAAATTAAAATAAATTCTGCTTACATTAAAATTTCTGCATTTGCTGGTTAAAACATTTTTTTCTGTTTCACATTTTCTGGTACCAGCAAAATTGTTGTTTCAATGGTTGTTTAGTATTTAAATATATTTGGTTTCAAAAGTGACATAATTTAGTTATGTGGCATGTAATATAATGTAATAATATGTATAATAAAAGACCTTATATCATGTGGTGATATTATTAATGTCAACGAAACTAAATTGTGGTTGCTTTTTAAAATTTCTGCTTTGTTTTACCACCACAGGAACTTAAAAAGATAAAATTGTCACATAGAAATTATATTTTGAAATTGAATCTTTAGAGCTCTTCTACTCTCTTCTGCATACATTTGGGCTTTAAAAAGATCTTAAATGTAATATTTGCTTAAATTGATCAATAAGTAATATAATATTATTGAAACTGTACTTTTTAATTCATAATAAATCTTCTAATTAAATGCTTGTTATTTTATAATAAAATTTATTTAAAACTTAATTACTTTTTAGAATGAAGAACTCCAGAAACTAGCTGAGGAGTCTCAAGCTATGAAAGATGAACTAGACGTTCTTCGTCATATTTCCGATAAAGTTGTAAGTGACATGAAATAAAAAGTTTTTTTTGAGGAAGCACTTTTTTTCAAAGTGAACTTACAATTTTTTAATAAATTTAGCCATGTTTCTATTGTTAGTGTAAAACAACCTTTAACTGTAATTTCTTCGTTATTGCATATTTGATAATTACTTTAAAATTTTTGGAATATTTTTACTAATATAACCAGGTTTGATTGAGTCTTCAAAACTTTCAGACCAAGGAAGGGTTTGAAAGTTATGAAGACACTGAGCCATACTAGTTAAGGTTGAAGCAGTGGCACCATTGTAAATTTTTAGGAAAAAGGAGAAAACCCAAAATGTGAAAATATATTTGTAATATGCTTGCATAAAATTCAATTAAAAAAAACAACAAACAAAGAAACAGGTGAAACCTTTTTTACAGTATGTAAGAGGAGAAGAAAAGAATACCTTAAATATTGAAGCTAAATAAGAAAGGAAAATATATAGCACATATCATACTGACCTGTAGTAGCTTAAAACAAGCCTCGTTGAACATAAAAGGCGTTTTATTTATTTATGTATATTTGTTTTTCAATATTTCCACTAGTGTTTTAAGGTAGAAATCATTATATAACATTTATTATGATTTCTGTCCAAATTTTGTCTACTTTTATTATTCTTTGTTCTGAAAATGTTTCCCTCATTAATTTAAATTATTATTTCAATTTTGTTTCATAGCTTTTCAGTTCAGGAGTTGATTAATCCTTCGAGTGTTGGTTCTGGTTTTTTTTCAAACTTGAAACTAGTGTCTTTCCTGGAATATAAAAACTGGTTCCTTCCATGTTGTTCGATACGAATGTAGCTCATATCCGGGAAAACTTTCTTCTTTGAAGTGTTGTAGTGTAAAAGAGTTATCTTAATTTTTTTGACATAGATTTGTAAATAACTTCTCAAATTATGTTTGTCTTGTGTATTCTGATCTTAGTTATTTCAATCGAATTATACTGCTAGTGCTACATAATTCTTTGAATGGTTTTTTATTGTACAATTTTTATAAGGTTTATGTTTTTGCAGAGATAAAATTTTTAGTTACTGTCAGAAAACAGTACTCTCGACCTATTTATAACAGGTATCTAAGAGAGTTTTGTCCATAAAATAGTCCCAAAATTTTAACTGTTTCAGGCTGAGTAAGGTTGAGTTAAATGAGTGAGAAAAGTGACTTTAAAAGTTTAAATATAATATTTATTCAGTCTGCTGTAAAAAATTGTCTCAAAATTTTGAGTTAATTTAATCTAACAATAATTTAACTTTTATATTAATTTGTCTTATTGTTTTAGTTATGCTGAGACAATAGGACGAATTTTTTTTGTCTTATTATCTTTATTGCCTTACAGTTTGAAATTCCAAATTTACCTTTTTTAAAAAATCCAACAAAATGCCTACTTCACTTATTTATTAAGTTTTTTTTAAACTAAACTTTAAGTGTAATACAAGATCAAAAATGACGTTTAAATAAGTGAGGTTAAAAAATAAATTGATAATTGAAGATTTCAACATTAATTGGTTATTTAGCATGTTTCAAATTGCTCCTTTAGTAATATTGCAAAAATATGTTTTGAATTATATTAATAAATTTGATACATTTAGATATATATTTGAGAAATATATTTGATACATTTATTTAGCAGATAATTTTGTAGTCAGTCTTGGTTTTGTCTGTCAGAATGATAGATGGGAATGAATGGGAATTAAAATCCTTACTTCATTTCAGAAATACGAAATATTATTGAACTTTTGTTATTTATTATAGCAAGTAATATTGTAGTTTTTATTCCTAAATTCTAATTAAAATACTAAATGTTATTTTTTTAAAGAAAATTTGTAAGCATGAATTGTTAATTTATTTATGAATCTCTAATTATGTGGATATCTTAAATAATGTGGATTTTTTTTAATAGAATGTCTATGAAGCTACTATAGAATCTTACAAGAAAAAACTAGGTAATTACTTTTACTTACTGTGGGTAGTATTTTTGTTTCTTTTTCTCCTTTCATTCAAAAAATTAGTTTTGTGCAATTTTATAAAATGAGTCTGTATTCTTCTTTATGAAAACTAAAAACCTTACATGATCTACTTTACTACATACATGCAACATTTTCTGTCTTTCCTTACCATTCAATTTCAAGAATTTTAAATTTTTCTTAATTCAATTGTCTTCATGTAACCTAAAACCAATTCAGTTTGACATTAGTTGTATTTGCAAGTATGAAGTGTATTTAAAAAATTAAGTAATGCTGATAAAATGATTTTAGCTCTATTTCTGTGTTCAAAAACCCTTCAAAGCTATTATTACAAAACTTTAAAATTTATGTAGATCTATTTCTATAAATTCTGCTTAATTGTTTTTTTTTTTTAAAAAAGGATTTGTTACCTTTTGTAAAAAAGCTTTACCAACTCTATTTACTTTTCTTGCCATACATATATAGTTCACTTCCATAATACTGCCATCCACTATAAATATTTTTTTCCCTTTTATTTGTAATTCAACTTGTTACCAGGAGATAACTTGCAACAAACTTGTCCATTGTTTGTTTTTTCCACCTTCTAAATGTAGGGTTCATTTGCATTAGCAAATCATTTGAGAAGAGAAGAAATTTTGTGTTATTTTAATTATGTATTTTATTAATAATATGGTTAAGCAATATTCTTTCAAAATCATCTTTTTTTTTTTTATAAAAAAGCATAAAAGGCGTATAAATTTTATGTGAAATATATTTATTTTGGATAATTGTTCTTTAGTGATGTTAATTATTATTTGATGAACCTTATTATGCCATTCAATTAAAATGGTGCTTTGAAAAATTTATTATTATCACTTGTTGCATATGCAGTAAAAGTAAAAAGCAATTTGATTTAAAATAATAAAAAAAGCTGGTTCTAAAATAATAGCACTAAATACTGAATTAGATTCAATTAATGTCAACAATGTAACAATAGTTTGTTAAGTGACATGCAAGGTAGTATCCTCAATTAACAAAATTTTATAACAAATTTCAGTCCACAATCATATTCAAAATTAAAGTGATACAAGAAATTATGGNGGGGGGGGCAAAAACGGCTATGCCTAGGGCCTACGAAAGGTATAATCCGGCTCTGTGCCTAGGGCCTACGAAAGGTATAATCCGGCCCTGATTAAGACAAATCACAATAGTTAATCTGCATGTTAGTAATTATTACTTTCAATTCTTGTGGAAAGTTTCTGTGGATTTATTAATTTTGCTGTCTAAAAAAGTCATTTTGTCAGTAATCTAACCTTTAAAATATTGTAAATAATTTGCATAAATGACATACATTTATAATTATACATTTATTTATAGTTATTGTAGTTATTAAAATACCATTTTCACCAATGTCCATCAATGTTTTAGTCATTAAAATTTCTTTCCAAAGTATTCTTCGTACTTTTTTTTTTTTAAAAAAAGAATAATTTTATCAAACTTTTTCAGAGGATATGGGTGATCTCAAACGGCAAGTAAAATTACTGGAAACTAAAAATACTCAGTATATGCAACAATGTATGGAACAAGAGGAAGTAAGTTTCTGACTTTTATCTATGAATTTACCTGTATATAAATATTTTTTTTTATATGAATATATATAATTTTTTTTCAAGGGGAAGACTTTTTCCAAAAACATTTAAAAAAGTCTCCCCCTGGATTTTTGTTGAAAATCGACCTTTTCCTTTTTATGTTTTTACATTTTTTCTTATTTGTTTTCAGGCTTTTCCCTTTTTGCTTCTAAACCTTTTTTTTGTATGTTTTTAGTATTTTTCTTTTTTCCTTACCTTGTATGTTAAGTATTCTGTTAAAATTATTATTTTTAATTAAAAAAGAAAGAATTAGAGCAAATAATAAAATTAATTTTTTATCTTTGAAATGTAAAAGAAACATTTTGAATTTTAAAAGATTATTTCTTTTCTTAACGTAACTAGCTTTAGATATTCTTTTAAATTTTAATAGAAATATTTTATTATTATTTGTAGGAATTGAAGAAAACATTATTAATGAAATCTCAAATAGATATGTATAAGAAACAAGTGCAAGAGCTTCAGTTTAATCTTTCTGAAGAAACTAAGCGTGCAGACAAAGCAGAATTTGAAACTAAGCGAGCACATGAGAAGCTATCATCAATTCAACAGGAGAAAGAGGTCAGTTTTTTTATTTGTTCAGTAGCTCAGACAGAAGCAGCAGAATTGGCGTAATTAGTTTTATTACTCTTGCAATTGAGTAATAGTGATATTGCAATATTTTTAAGTTAAGTTTTCATCAGATACAGTCTTAGAAAATTCAGAATTTATTATTTGCCAGAAATTTGCACACCTGCATAACATAGAATCTGCATATTCTACATATTTCACTTTTGTGTATTAACTAATTATTCTAAATAAACATCTACTTATTTATAGAGACTTGTGATAGAGAGGGATTCTTTGAAAGAAAGTTTGGAAGAATTAAGGTGCATGCAGTTACAAAAAGGTATTAATTGTATTTTTCATTAAAATATAATTAAAAATATTTTAAATTTTGCTTAAAGAGTTATTTTAAACCAGATAAGTTTTAGTTTGTGTTTTTTAATATTTTTCATCTCATTTTCCCTTGTTTGCATTCATTAAATAATTTTAAGCAATCTGAAGCTTCTAATTCTATCTTTCCTGGAGATTGCTTTATTCAGGTAAAGATGATGCCATAACCTTCAGATGTCTGATGAATGTAGAATTTAATTTATAATTTAAAAGTTATGAGCTATTTTATAAAAGTTATTCTTTGAAACTGGCCTTCTGTTTAATGTTTCTTAATAAGTGCCCTTCAATATGTAGTTTTAAAGTCATTTTTGTTTGTTTTGTATTCTCCATGTCTTTTTGTTTTTATAAAAAAGAAGAAAAAATTTTTAAGTATTTACTTTTCTATTACAAAGTATCAATGTTTTTTTATCCATTATTTTATTTCCATGATTTTTTTCCATTAACTTTTCCCCTGATATTTTCTCTATTTTATGCTATCAAAATTTTTCTCTTTCACTATTTAAATATCCAGATATGTTCGCATAACATCTTTAAATTATTATCAAAATCATAACTTCATCCAGATCATATCTCATCCATTATTTTCATAAATGATATCCTAATAAAGATTCAGAATATGTGTGGCTTAATTTTATATGTATTCCTATGGAAAAAAAAATCATTTTACTAGTGTTTTTCTTAACACATGCTGCCAATTTTTTTAAATAATGAGTTTCTTAGGGTACTCTATTATGTACCTTATACTTAGTTATAAACCCAATAAAAATAAAAGTGGTTTAAGTTTATTTTAATTAATAATTATGGATTTGTTTCATTTTTCAGAAAGTGCCAGTGATAATGCTGGTAATGAGGCTTCCATCAGTGACAATGAATTATTAGATGCAGTACCCCCCGAGATCAGGTATACTTTTTCCCCTTTATGTTTTCCAATTAAGTTTTTCTTATTGTAGATATGTAAATCTTTACTTCTTGAGGAAAATATAAAGTATCTGAAGTCAAGACATATAATTTTTTATAAATTTATTTACTTTTTTTTCTATTACCAAAATTAATTTTTTTAATTACTGAACAAATTCAGTAAAATTAAAAGATTTCTAAACCATGATTTAATGATAAATCAGCAGAGCGACCTTGAAAAATTTGCAGTTTGATGGCTTCCATATAGTTATAGAAAATATTGGTTGATATGAGCAACAGAATTTTTTCTTTAAAAAAAAGAGAAACTAATTTCAGGTGCAGAACCATTTTCATCAAACTTAGGCACTTATATTAGGCAGTTTTGACATATCATGGTATTCTGCATTTGTTTAAAACACGTAAAATTAATGAGTATCTGTAAAACTAAATAATATTTAAATAAAGCATGCACATGTTCAATTAAGGACTGTCTGGTCACCTTATATATATATATATATATATATATATGTATACAGTAGGGAACCAATTATTTGGAATGCTGGGGACCATCATTATCCCGGATGTCTGAATTTCCGGGTTTTCTGGATTGCTAAAAAATGATTTAATGCAGCTTGACTGTATTTCTACATTAATATTGAATTAAAAGAAGCTGCATTTGAGCCGTTTTAGAATTCCAATTAAAAATTTCTATTCTCACTTTATTCTTTTTACTTTGTATTTATTGGAGTATTTTTCTTGCTATTTCCCTACCACCTTCTGTTTGCTAATAATTACTCCTCATAAGTTAAAATGAAATCATTCATTTCATCTGATTTCGTTTTCAAGATGCCAATTTTGTTTTCGAAAATAAAATAAACATCAGTAAAAAACACAAATAAAAAATAATCAAAAATAAAATGTAAAAATTTCACCATTTTTCCCTGTGATTAATCTGGCCACAACTAATTTGATAAGAATTTCTTTCTCTGCTTTGTGCAATTGCACTTTCCACACAACACAATTACGTCATTCCATTTGCCTTTCAGGCAGACTCGCTGCTTTGAATATTATTCATTTTAGGTGACATCACAGGATTTTAAACATTAATTGATTTTTAGCGCAGGAATTTAGATAATTAATTTGAAATCTGAATAATTATAAACTAAGAATTTAAATCAAGATTCAGTTGCTACATGCATGATTTAATAAGTTAATTCTAAGCAGACTTGTGTATAAATTTATGTTTTCTTACAAACTCTTTTTTGTTATAGAGAAAAACTTATCAGACTGCAACATGAAAATAAAATGTTGAAAATAAATGAAGGGGCAACAGTTGATAAACAACTAACTATTGTACAAAGTCTTTTAGATGATGCAAGATCCAGAATTAATGAACTTGAAACTGATAATAGGTAAATAGAGAGTTTAAATTTTCATTTGTTTTGAAGTTTTTTTAAATAACAATTTTTATTTTTTAATAAAGTGCTTGATTGTCAATAAAGTGTTTATTCAAAATCTTTTAGTATTATTTTTATTATAAAAATTTTAATAACGTAAGAAAGAAAAGGAAATAAAATGTAAATTGACTTTTGAAAGATATTGCTTTTTTATTCATTAATCAATTTAATCCACCAATCAATTTGAACCACAAATCAATTTAAATTTAATATTTTGTAATCATTAAATCATTTTTATCAAACATTGTTTCATTTTACTAATTAATTCATCTTGATGCAATTATGTAATAAAAATCTGATTATTTCACTTCTTTTACAAACTTTCAATTGTTTAACAAGATTGTTTCCCTATTGGTACATCTCTTTTTTGCTAATCTATTATCACTAATTAAGAATTTAACATGAATGAGCCATTTTGATCAGTTCCTTCTGCTTCCAGTTTATAGTGAACATTGGTTGCCGCAAATCTGATATTGACTGGCTTTTCACTGTCAATAATGAAATAAAATGTTCTTGTGTAGAAAAAAGTGATGTGTGCATATTTCCTTTTTTTTAAATTTCCTTTTTTAAGTGTTATCTCAGGAGATTATTTTCAAAGTACACTAATTTTTTTCTTTTTGTAAGAATTTATGTTTACACATGATGCACTAATAAAGATTCCAAAGAGTCCAATTAAAATTTCTTGCAATTTTGTTGGGATTGTCATGGTCTATATATCTCATGGAAAACTCATGGGAGGCAACACTGAGGAGAAAAGAAAGTATTTTTATGTCTGATACAGATGAAAATTCAAAAAAGTTTTGGTCCTAGTGAAAAAAATTTCAAACGCTTGTATACTGCTTAATACACTACGTCTTATGAGAAAAAAATTACATCGCTTTCATACTACATAATATTAAAAGTTGAGATTGTTGATAAAGTAATTCTTTTACTATTTGTATCTTTTTTATTATTCTGCACAATGATTTTCTGGAGAATTTTTAAAACACATGATGCATTGCAATGCGACAGTTGGTATATAAGTTCACAAAAATATAGAAAATTTATTTTTTAGTTGATCACCTGATTAATTAGAAAAAAAGTTACTCCAGATTTCTACGCTAGACAACATATTAAATAAGGTTTTTCTTTCTTTCTTAAAAAAATATTCTGCATTTTTTGAAATGTTCAAATTTACTTTTGTAATTTTTTAAGCAAGGAGCATGGATTTTTCCCCCCCACAAAATTATTTTTACCCTGATTAATTGATTTAAAAATCTTGTTATTTAGGTTAGCTAACCGCCGTATTATGGAGCTTGAAGGTCAAATTGAAGATCTTCATACCAATCAATCAGCTGTCAACATTCAAGAAGGATCTGATCTTAAGCAAAAATTATCCTCAGCCATGAAAAGACAAAAAGAAGCTGATGTTGAAATACAGAACTATAATGTTACAATTGAATCGCTAGAAAGTCAAGTTGAAGCTTCAGGTATTTCATTTTTATTAATCAAATGTAAATGGCAGGAATTTAAAAGAGTTCATTATTTAGAAAATATGCTATGAAAATTATGCTTGATATTTTTTGAGGCAGAATTTATAAATAATTTAGATTCTCAAAAGTTTTGACTCATTCAGAATACTTCAATTTGTCATACACAAGCCTGATATACATATAGCCTAAATAACTACAAATTTTTTTAGTTATAAAAGTAATTGAGAAAATCCAATGATTTCTGACTTTTTGAAGATGCAAAATCTAATTTTATAGGTTTAAAAACTATGAAAAATTGGAAGTTGTGAAATGCACGCATGTTGTATCTAAAGCATACGAAAAGTTTGAAAAATGAATATGCGAATTACTCTGTCTTCTAGTCACTATTGAATTCAAGCTCTTTATTTGTTGTTAATTTTAAATTCAGACTTTTTTCTGAAATGTATAACCAACATTTTAATGCAATAGTAATTTTTTGCAAGAAAATACCTCTTAATTTGATCTTAAAATTTTTTTCATGTTACAGTACGAAAAAATCAACAGTTACAGGACATATTAAATCACAAAGATGAAGAAATTAGAGCCATGGAAGAGAGGTATAGGAAATATCTCGAAAAAGCAAAGAATGTAAGTAAGACAGTCTTAAGCACTTGACTCAAAAATTTAGATTTGATATAATAGTAAGATAAGAGTGTATTAAGCATTTAAATTTTAAGTATTTGAACAGTTCAGCTGTTTTCTAAGTTTTATTTATATCATGTTTGAAAGATCAGTTTTGTTTTACCTGCAAATAATTGGAGTATAAGTTTAGTTACTGTTCAGCGAATCTCATGAAATATGGTTTATGGAAGTAGAAATATGAGAAATTGTTTATGAAACACATTTGTCACGTCCTTCCTTCAGGTTCAATTAAATAACTCAATGTTTTATACTTATAGCTAATACTGCATATTATTTATTGATCTGGAAAATTAAGAGTTTCTTCTAAATTCTCTCTATTATCATGTCAGTCTTTAAATAAATTTTTTTAACTTAAAATTCCCCAATCAAATTTTCATTGTTTGTTAGCCAAATTTAATTCTTTTTGTTCTACAGTATCAGGGGAAATACAATTTTTGAAAACACGAGAAAGTTCCTATCTTATTAAACTGTTTTTATGGTCCCAAGGAATTGCTTATTTTTATTATAGGTTATTAATTTTTATTATTTTCTTCTTTAAATATTTTTATTTCCTTCATCATTCAGAAGTTTTTCAAATCAAAAATGTAAAGGCATGGGAAAAGGACTGATATAAGCAGATTTTCTCCAAAAATATGTGTACAGAAATGCCTTGTGCAGTTGATAGAGAGCATCTTCATACAGAGTTGAGCATGATTTTGTCATTATATACTTCCAGGGGCGATGAAAGATATAAAAAAATTCGTGCGGGGGAAATACGCAGTAAAAGAATAATCCTTTGAGACATGCATTGATTGTGAGTCGTACAACTGTTTTGCAGAGGGAATGCATCCATATCATTTGCAAAGAATTAATGATTTTCCTCTGCCTTTCAACTACTGGTACCAGGGTATATAAAATGCGACTTTCAATATAATTGTTTTATTCACTGATTAAAATAACCTTTTGGTTAATGAATGGCCAAAAAGCATATGCCTACCAGTGAAATTCTTCCATTAATTTTTGGACTTGCATTATACTCACTGACTTAGCATGGCTGTACACTCGACCAAATTGTTTAACTGTAAACTTAGCATCTTCTTACAAGTCTTGCCTGAAACTTCTGGTCAATGTTCCCCCAGATGCTTGTTCAGAAATGTGGTTCTAGTAAGATGGAGCCCCAGTTCTCTCAGCAGGAATATCTGGAATCAACTCTGTCTATGATCTTTGGGGCCAATTCCTTGACTATCATGTTCTCCAGATTTGACGTACTTAGATTTCTTCATTTGAGGTTAAACAAAAAGTATACAATATGTTTAATAGTCCTGCACCATTTGAAGATCTGGTTGGCAATTGTCTGTAGCCGCTGGAAATGTGCATGATGTTCCTGAACATTTTTACTTATGGGCATGAATCCATGCACTGCCACTCTGAATCTTGTGTCACTGGTGATACTCGCTCTTTCGGGCAGTTATTATAAACTAAAGTTTGATTGGAAACTGACTGCAAGAAATTGTAAACTCTTAATACATTATTTTCTTTTATCTAACATGTCTTTTAAAATTCTTAGAATAAATACTGTTTTACTTGCTTGCACTTTAACATTAAATTTTCGCATATATTGTACATTCCTATACAAAATCAGTTTGCTTTGGTCGCTTTCTACTTGCCTTTACATTTTTGACATATAGTTTTGAGCCTCCCTGTATACATTCTTCTTATTTGACTTAACATTTTCATACGCATAACAAATTTTGAATGTAAAAAAATTTTTGTTGTCTAAAATCAGAATTCCTCCAAATTTGGCATAAATTTACCATACAGTACAGCATTAATCAAGATTTTGTTTATTTTTATCTTTGTTCTTTATTTTATTTTTATTTTCTTTGTTAAAGGTTATAAAAACATTGGATCCCAAGAAGAATCCTTATTCCCATCTTGACATTGTTTCATTGAAAACTCAACTTTTAGAAAAAGAAAAAATCATAGCTAATTTGGAGGTAATAGCTTATTTTATCTATATTTTATTGTTTTTTTTTAATCTATATAATTTTTTAAGGAATTTTTTAAATTTTGTTTTACTAGATTATAACTATAAATATTAAACTTTTTGCTTAATGTTAGCCCATAAATGCCTTATTTTCTAAATTATGGAGGTAGGAAAAATGCCCTTAAGAAAAAAGTGGTTGTGCATTTAAATTAACTGAATATTTTCTACTCTTAACTTTAATGAGATTTAAGAAATGGCATCTAATATCATTTATATATTATTGCATGTTCAAATAAAAGTTTCTATATCAATAAAATATTGTGTTTATCACTAATGTTTGCATTTAAAAAAGCTATTTGTTGATGAAAAGGAAGTTATTTGTTGAACACCTTAAGGGCTTTATAACTCATGTATATGTAAGCATTTAACTAGTAAAAGTAAATTGCTAATTAAATTGAAAGTGTAATTCATATATTATCTCACCTATACAATGACAATCAATATATCAAGAAGTAAACTTTTTACTTTGTGCCATAATATAAATAATGATGCACTCTTGATAGTTAGTTATTATTAAAAATATTTTTATATTTTAAGCAAATTTCTTTTTAGATGATTATAAGACTATGTTTCAGGGGTGAAAATCTTCAAGGATCCGATATTTTCCACTCTGTATATATTATTATTTTTGCTATAAATAAATTATTTATTAAGGGTTACTTATCTCTTCCTTAATGTTTATTACTACTCATAACTTTTGCAATCGCTATTTGCCATTTTTTACCATCCCCCTTGTGACCCTTTTAAGACCTTGATATCTTTTGCAGTTAGCTTCATTTGCAGCTTTGAAGAACAAAAAAAGTAAAGAATTAACCTTTAATCTAAATTTTATTTCAAAACCTCTCATTGAGTAAGAGTTTTTAGTTTTTAAAAAAACTGCAATATTATCATCTTGCATGTATATTACCATGATACTAATTTGTAGTTTACAAAAAGTATTATGTGTAGAGTGAGTATTAGGTAATTATTATGATAAGATTAATTTTATAGCCAACTTTTTAAATTTCAAAGGGAAGTTTATGAATTTTTTTTTTTTTTAACAATCTATAAAAAAGGAAAATGTACATGAAGGTGGTTAAATGGTTAGTCAGAAAACTAAATAAGTTGAAACTCTATTTGATTTTGTTTTCTTTGTGATTTCAATATTTTTTTCCCTTCATTCTTTTTTGAAATTGTCTTACGTTCAGCACTAAAATTATGTGTATGCATATTATTTTCTTGCATTACTGTTAAATTTCTTTGTAAGCTTTAATATATATACATATTTTTTTTTTAGAAAGAGGCAGATAAAGCAAGGGCACTTCAAGATATGGAAGATAAATTGATAACAACTGCATTTTATAACTTAGTATGCATATCCTTTCATACTTTATCTTATTAAAAGAACTTAAAACATTTTTTTTCTTACTTACTACTTATTCCTGTTGAAAATATAAATTTGTTTTTTAAAATTAAATTTTTCATAATATTATTGAACATAAAATTAGTTGTTAATACAGATTTGAATTGAATAATGTAAAATTCTAAAGGTGAATAAATTTTAGTTCAGAGCTAATAAAAATGCAATTATTCCGTGGTAATATTTAAATTATATATTAAAAAATAACATAATGCTAAATGTGTTTGAATTTTATGTATTCAATTATTTAATCCCTTTTCCTACTTCTAGGGAGCTCAGTTGCAAAAACGAGTTGCAGAAGAGAGACTTACTCAAGCAAGAAACAACCACACATTTTTGTCTCGACAAAGACAAGTAACAACTAGATGGACAAATTTAAATTCTCAAGGAAGGTAATTATTATTAATTTGATATTTTGCCACATCCCTGAAACTATGGTTTAAGAAGATATAAACATTTCTTTAGAAGCATTTTTAGATGAAAGAATTCAAACAATTTTCTCTTTAGATGAAAGAATTCAAACAATTTTCTCTTTAGATTAGAAGATTTTTTTTCTGATTGAGTGCAAAAATATTATGATTCTTGTCAATTATTCATGAAATATCACAAATTATGCAAAAAGCAGGACAGTAAAACTTGTTAAGTTACCACCTGTCTAAATCAACCTCCATAATCAGGCTAACCCCCCCTTCTGCCACCTGTCTATCCTGTATGTTGACCATTAAAATATCTCAAATTTTTCTAGGGGTGTTATTGATTTCTATTCTAAATTCTTTATAAGTTGCTGAAATTTTCCAAACTTTTATGTTACGTATTAAAATTTCACCAATATGAAATACTATTTGAAGTTAACCTGAAACTTGTAAACATGAAAAGTAAGTTGTTCTTTTCATGTTTACAAGGTTTACCAGTAAAGTTGAACATGAAATTTCAGTTCTGAAGGTACTAGCGGGACAAAGTTTTTGCTTGCAGCACAAAATATTATAATTTGGAACAAATTTGGGAAACTTGTTCAAACTCACTCTCTAGCATCTGAGTGAAACAAACTTTAACTTGAATTTTGCCCACTCTGATAACGCAACATTTTCTAGTTCATTTAAGAGTTTTGTGTTTAATTATGTGAATAGATTCTTTATATCCTGTATCCCAAATTCAAGAATTATTTCTTTGGGCAGAAAGCCTAAGATGGCTAAAAGGTGCAAGTGGTGTTAACACAATTGATTTCATGGATTTCAGTCATTTTGTGATGTCCATCGTATTGAATGTATTATCAATCTCCTTTTTAAAGTCTGAAACTCTTGCTCTCCATTTTTAATATTTTTCTACAGCAAACTCTAGGGAAAGTATAGTAGCTTGAAGCATAATATTTTACTAGACTAAACTAACTCACCAGCCCTAAATATTTGCTTCCCAGTAGCAAGCTGTCCAGTGAAAATTTCATGCTTGCTGTAGTCAATCGTATTTCTCTATATGTGAGATATATTTGCTAACTAACAAATTTTCAAGGAACTGCTCTAAAGAAGAAAGAGATTTAATTTTATTTGATTAATAACATATAAGAAATGTATGTGTAATGGTATGTCTATATTTAATATAAGAAATGTTAATAATAAACTCATTTCCCTCAATATATTGACCTTCAACTTGCACAGGTTTCACTATATTAATATCAAGGGAATCAATCTTTCCTCCCTCTAACTTGAATCTTTTTTCCAGTATGTCGCTACATCTCATATTTTTTGAGTGAAATATCTAAATCTATCAGCAATAAAGAATGTTCATTGAGAGAGAGAGAGAGAGAGTACATATTTGTGGCTGATTTTGTAACTGAACTAATTATTTAGCATATTAAAGGCTTACCCTTTAAAACATTTAAATATCATATTAGTGTCCTAAAATTATTTGCATCAATTTTTTCATCATTGTAAATATTTGATTTTCCTTTTATTTTTCTTTAGCTACTCATAAATTTCAAACCACAAGTAAGCCTGAATTTTAAATTTTCATTTATGCTTGTAAATATTTTTTTAAAATTTCTGTTTTTAGATTTTCAGACATTATATCATGTTTTAGAAATATTGTATGAGAAAATATATTACAAAAGTATTTATGTTTTTCTAATTTCTGAGAAATTAAGTATTGTTCTTTATTAATTAAAAATTAAGCAATCTTTGCAAAATCTTCCTATTAACATTAAAAGTATAATTTTCGCTGCAAATTTTTGTTACTCAAACATAGAATTTTATTACTGAGTAAATTTTGCGAAACCACTGTTTTTTTTCTCTTTAGAATAGATGTTAAACTGCATGAGTTGATTTTTCATTAAAGCAACATTTTGTGTTATAATAACATTTGTAAAAAAATTTAGTTTTCCTCAAATTAATTTTTTAAAGTTGTAATTAAAATAGAGCATTGTAACGATGTAAACGATGCATAAGTTTTCACTTTTTCTGGCTTAAAATATGTCATAGTTGTCTATAAGAGATGAGACGAGCTCCCTTCATAGGTCTGAGCCTATTGACTTTTAATTTGACTCAACTTAATACCAAAGATTATTTTGAACTCTGAAGTTTTTAATATATATGCTAGATAAATTCAGGAGAGTGTGACATTTTATCAGTTTTTGTATTGATTTTTAAATGTTAAGATTACAATGAAAAAAAGTAATGAAAAAATTAAATCCACTTGCTGAGAGTTGTTTCTTCTGCATGCAATACAAAAAAAATTTGAAGTCAATTCAAAACCTTTTGAGATAATTGATCCAGAAATTTTTCTTTATTCCCTAATACTTAGCATTTATGAAGAAGTTTATCAGTATTCAGATTTTTTCTGATGGGATATATATCTTAAAATCAGTTCAAATTCCTTTAATTTTCTTTCTTAAGTAAATAGTTTATGTTTTTTTATGGTAAACATACTTTTTGGAGCAAGTACTACAAGTATTTTCGCAATTAGCTAAAATCTACTGTTAACAAAATTTTATAAAATACCAATGAAATAAAATGTTAGCTATATATAAGGTATTTTTCTACTTTATTTTAGGTTTGAAATTTGAAATGCTGTTTTGAAGACTTGACGACTAGTTTTAAGAAAGCATTTTTTAGTATTATTTTTTGTATTTTATTAATCTATACAATTTGTTGACCGGTGTGGTAATGTTAATGTGGATCATTAACACATTACTGTTTTTAAAATGTAGCATAAATGTTGTCTTTCAAATTTGAAACTTGGTTGAGATTTTTTATGGAAATTGTACATATATATAATATACTTAAGGAATGAATTTATTGTATTTAATAATATTGTGGAATGTGTTTAATAATTTTTAAGTTGTTTTAAGATAAATCATTCATCTAGTAGTAAAAAGAGTAAATAACTCAATCTAGATACTTTTTATAAAGGAGACACATTGTTAATAATTCTCTGTCTCTTCAAAATAATTTATATTCCATTAATTTATATGAAAAATGTTAATATTTGCAGCTGTGATGAAATATTAAATTTATTCTTTATAAAGAATTGTCATTTATTTTCTAACATTTCATTACACAATACTATTTCACTGACCTATTTACCTTTCCCTAATTTCATCACGATATTATTAGTTCAAGAAATATTCTTTAACCTCTTAAAACCCAAGATTCTAAGAACGCTAAAAAATATTTATTTCATTTAGATATATGTTTACCTGTCAAAAGTAAAGTTATTGAAATTATTATTTATTTATTTATTTTATTTATTTATTTATTTTTTGAAATATTAATGAAAAGAATTTATTACTTTTTTAATAATTAATTCAAACAGTTTTAATTTTTAACAATTTTTTCATCACGATATTATTAGTTCAAGAAATATTCTTTAACCTCTTAAAACCCAAGATTCTAAGAACGCTAAAAAATATTTATTTCATTTAGATATATGTTTACCTGTCAAAAGTAAAGTTATTGAAATTATTATTTATTTATTTAATTTATTTATTTTTTTTTTTGAAATACTAATGAAAAGAATTTATTAATTTTTTAATAATTAATTCAAACAGCTTTAACAACTAAAATTTGTAAAAATTTTACAGATTTATTGCTTTTTTTTACATACAACAGAACTGCTAAAATATTATTGAATATTATTTTTATGTTTTAAAATTTTCTTCAAATTTTAATTTCTTCAGTTTTTGATAATTCTAGCTCTTTCCGATTCTGGCTTTCAATGATGAGATCAATTACTTTTTTTCACAAATAATGCTTTTGTGAGTTTGTACATGCTAAAAAAGGTTCGATAATGATGTACATATGAAATATTCAGTAAGGTGGATGTGGGGTCTGAAAAGGTTATAATAAAGTTTATATTTTTAAAGTGTTTTGTTTCTTTGGATATACTTAAAAGTTTTTTGAACATTTATGAATAAGATATTATCTATTTTGATACTATATGGAATGGAATTTTGATACTAAATTCTCTTAATTTCAACTTTGGTTTTATGATAGCCCATCAATAACAAAAATTTTCGATTAAGGGGGTATAAAGTTGAAACATAGCCTTTATAACATTTGGTTATTGCAAGCATAACTTAGATGTAGCAATTATTTTTTTCAGGAAATTTGTTTAAAGATTTCTCTTTCATGTTCGAAGAAAATAAGTTGCATACTTTGAGGAAGGGTTTAAGAATTCTATTAATATTAAACTGTTTATAAATAAAACTGAGATATGCCATGAAGACCAATAAAGTTTGATCCTCACCATGGGCGTTACAGATGTTCAATAGTTTTCTGAATTTTACACTTAAGAAAAAAAGTTAATGTATCTGCAAAAGATAAATTTTTTTCTTGCTTGTAACTTGGGTAAACTTAAATTAATTATGATTCATAATTTTTTTTTTTACTTGTCTGAATCATTATGGGAGATTTCTTATTATTAAGGGGAACATAACCCTCCCCCCTTCGCTAACATTTCCCATGGCCCTCACCTTTATCAGAATTATTATGTACTTACTACTAGAACACACCTAAGTTGATATATATTTACCACTAAACCCTGAAAAGAAAGCACCTAACTCTCATTATAATTGAAAATGATAGGTTTGATTGCTCCTCCTTAAACTTCTGAATGGCAACTCATAGAAGTAATGATCAGGTAGAATAAAATCCCTATAAACTATTTGATAATATCGTCCTCTCTGCTGCTAATAAGCTTTTAAGTATTCTCAATTTAGTTGAGAAAGGCATGTTTCATTCTTTACATTTAAATGCTTAAAATGCAGATTTGATGATTAATAGTATCCAAAACTGATATTTCTAATTTTGAAAAACAAAAAGCAAGCAAATTTGGGTATCCTTGTGTATACAAAAATTTTCATATTGCTCTTAAAACTAGACTAGAGTATACAAGTTTTCTCTATTTATACATTTGAAAGTCGTGTTAAACATTCATAATTTTGTTAGCGAGTTTTAAACATTACATTTTTAAAATTTAATTGAGCTAAATACCTTATTCATGTAAAATCAATGAGGTTCTACAACTTATATACCAACCTTTTTCTCACATTATGTACAATTAATGAGATAACTAAGAAAATTTCAAATATAGCTCCAAAATGGCACTGTAAGTATTCTCTTCAAATATCTCATAGCCACTTTACTATATCTAAACATCATTGTTATAGCTCTGCTTGTTTCTAGCCTGAAGTTAGCAGCTGGTAATTGCTTCCCATTATTTGATTTTTATCATTATGGCGGTAAAAACAAAATTAGATTTTTTTTTTTTAAATATATCCTGCACAGTTAAAGGCAGTATTCAATCTTGCAATTTCATTTGCTTCTGTAGGATTTTTTGAAGATCATAATATAATAGAAACTTATTAAACTAAACAGTCAGTATATTGGATTCATATGTGAGTACCTCTTAATTGGTTAATTTAAGTAATTCTTAACTGAACATAAACATTTGTGTTACAAAATGATATTGAAATAAACTGCATTTTAAATGAGAGACTAATTATGATTATTTTGAATTATGAGACTAATTAAAAGATTGAGCCTTGATAAAATGTTAAAGAAACTAGAGAAAGTGTATATGCTTGTGCCAAATATGATGCATATATCCTATAATGATAATTTTCTTGTTCAAAAGAATTATTTAAAAATTATGAGCAGAATCGCTCAGATAGTTCTAGAGAAATAAATATTTAAAGATGCAAGTTTTTTGAAATTCCATTACTCGAAAGCTATTGTGCTGATTTTATTTTAAATTTTGTCATTCAAAAATACATAGTTTAAAATTATGTAAAATTTGCAATAATTTTTGTCCATTATTTGATAAAGTAAACAAAAAATAATAACAAAATAAAAAAAAATGTTTATTTTTCATGAAATTGTCTTAGGTCAAACGAGTTTTTAGATTGTATGCAAAATTTTATTGATCTGCGTTGTTACTACTGCTACTCATTGGTGTAACAATCCTTTGAGTGTGTCTGCCTTAGAACAGCCCTCCATTTTCACAATTCAGGGCTTTAGAATTCCAGTTCTTTATTTTTACCTTTTTCAAGCTTTATTCCAAACCCTCTTATCATCTTCTCTTAGGTAGCTTAGAGCCACTAGGTTTTGAAACAACTTTTTTCACTGTTCTATTAGTACTCATTGTAATTCAATCTCCTTATCTTTATATGAGTGGTATTATCAAATCTCCATATTTCTGAATTTTCTCTAATTCTCCTCACCTTATTATCATTGACAGATTCAAAAGTTTTCCTCGTTACCTTTCTCTAACAGTTTAACAAATATCTTGATCTTTTTTCATTAAGCCCAATTTTAGCTGATCAATACTACTATTTCTCTCATTGGTCATTGTTAACAATTTTTAAGCATTCCTATAACAGTCAATCATAAATTTGGCAGTTCAATTAAGCCTACTACAGATAAGGTACATCTTTCATGGGTGATCTGCAGGAATCTTGTTCTACCATAGATGAGCCATAATTCTTGATGCGTCATTGGTCAGCTTTCAATATAAGCAGTTCGTATAAATTGCCAACACTTGCGCAAAAGAAATAATGAGTGCTTGCGCCTCAGCAGTATTTGTTGAGTGATTTAATTTTTTCCCCTTCAAATTCTAGACACCTTAAGAGTGGAGGTCTGAATAAGAACTTTAGTAAATGAATATTGAATAATCAAAATATGAGTGATTATTGCAAACGAATATGCCTTACATTGAAGAATAAAATAAAAGGTATTGAGTACAGTAAAAAAGTAATAAATGCGCGTAAATTAGCTTCACTATATGGCTGTGGAAAGACAAATTAATAACATCTTAAGAAAATTTGATAACTATAATGAATGATAATAATAAAGTAGAAAAATATATTTCTCTAGCTTCATTGCAATTGCCTTATCACAAATTTATGTATTTTGGTAACGGACATAAAATGTTCATCATAGGAATTTTTTTTTTAAATGAATAATGCATGCATATACTTGTGTAAAAGTTGAAATGCTGGGTAAGTTAACTATTCATTTGAATCACCTTGTTTGTGACTTATTTACATTTTAGTTGTTTGATACAGATTTGATTTGATTTAGTTGTTAATTATTTACATTTTAGTTGTTTGATGTTTGTAATTTTTTATTTTTTGAGCATCTAATTTGTTTATAACACCAAATAAGCTGCCTCATAACACCGGTTATATATGCATAGTTCCATGAGAGACTGTTGTTCAGAGGTCTTACTGTACAATAGTATACTGCTATTAAATGAGATCAAAGATTTGCATAAGTGAATCCAGAAATACTAAAAAATAAACAAAATAGAAATTAACATCAAAGATATCCACATTTTTTACTGCTCTTGGGACTGAAGTATTGGGACCATATCTTACAGATTGCTGTTACTCGGAAGATATCGGCTTAAACATACGTTTTTATGCCTGATTTTATAGCTTAAAATATTATCTGAACTAATTAATTAGCTTAGACTAGGGAAAAATTATGATTACATCTTAGCATGTGAAAATCCGCCGCTGGATTAAAAGTTATCCAGAATGGCCTGTTTTTTCCTAAACTTTGTAATTTCTATACATGTTAAGCCCTTAACCTTTCCTATTTATATTGGAATTTTGGGTAATCTGAATAGGCCGTGGTCTCAGTTAGTATGAGTTCAATTCTGTTGCTCAGTGCATATATATTAAAAAAGAAAAGCGGACCGCCCTAAATAACTTCTGATCTTAATGATCTGACCTTCACGTTTTAGGACTCAATCTTAATGGTTTGAGAGGGTGACTTTAAATTTGCTAATAAATTAGTGCAGGCGATATTTTAAGTTATGAGATCAGATGCAAAAACGTTCCTTCTCTGAATAAACGTAATTCTTTTTCGACGAATTCGTATTCTGACCCCAAAAATATAGTCCCCATAGTTTGGTCAAGTGAGTGTTCCAAAGTTTGGACCTCTTAATGTTAAGTTTACTTTTTGCGTATTTTACCATATCTCGAGAACCTAAAAGCGAATTGAAAAATTTTTGCACA